GTTTTCTATAATCTGGGTCCTTCCAAATGAATAAAAACCTTGGTCTGAAAATGAGGCTCCCATCGATCATAGTGTCCTGGTGACCACACATCACCTCTGAGGCTGCCTCTCTAGTTGGATGTGAGGGATAGAGAGGAGAAGGGGGAGGGGAGGACAAGGGGAGTGGGGAGGGGAGGGGAGGACAAGGGGGGTGGGGAGGGGTGCCCTGGCGGAAGGGCTGAGCCGTCTGCCTCCCTGCAGCTGTTTGAAGGAAGCATGCACTACGACACCCCTGACATCCGAAGGTTCGAGCCCGTGCCAGCACAGTATGTGCGAGTGTACCCAGAGAGGTGGTCACCGGCAGGGATAGGGATGCGTCTGGAGGTGCTGGGCTGTGACTGGACAGGTAAGGACCCGCTTTTCTCCTTGAGTGTCCCCCACATGGTCTTGTGACCCATCCAGGGATTCCTTGGGGGAGGCCGTCGGGAGGGGCAGCCATCCCAGTCCCATTGAAGCTGCAGACCACTGCCAAGTTCCCAGGCTTCAGAGCAGGGGACTGCAGCCTCTGGCCACAGGACAGTTTCTGAAGGGATGCGCTTTGTCTTTTTTTAAAGGATCATTTCACTTCTCCAACCCGTCGAGTCTCTCAGAAACAAATCTTAACCACACACCACCCACCCAAATTCAATTAGACCCTGACTCTTCAGGCCAGAGGGCTGTGGCTGTTGATTTAGGGAAGGAAAAAACCCCTCATGATAATAAAGTAATCGGTTTAATGTCTGAATCTGGACGCCAGATGTCAGTGGCTAAGAGACTTCATTTTCATTTCGAAGCTACATCTGTAAAAGGCATTTATGTGCTCGGGAGGAACCCTGTTGCGGGAGCTGGTGGGAGCAGGAGTCCTTCCCAGCGTGAGGCAGAGTCTTGCTCACCTCTGCCCTGCCAGGTGGCACAGCCCTGGGGGCACCTCTCATTCTCCCAGATGAGGGCCCACAACATGCCCTCCTGTCCTTGTTTCTGAGGAAAGGCCCTACCCTTCTGTGTCAGCCTCACCTTGCCTCTGGGCACCGGCCCTCCTCCCTGGGCAGAGCGGGCACTGGCTTTCACCCAGAGGTCACTCACTGCCTGCCAAAACGGGCCTGCGGGAGCCTCTAGGGGCTGGGCTGGAGCCCAGTGCCAGCAGGCTGAGCAGTCCTGCCCCTCCCCACCAGGGCCCCAGGTATCCCGGTTCTTGGTGCCCTACCTGTCACCAGCTTAGCCAGCAGGATAGTGTGAAGGATTAATAAGGGCATGTTGGGGAAGTGCTTTTGGCTCCCAGGGAGAAAAGTGCTGCCTGTGTGCTGGTGATGGCCGTGTAGAGGAGCCCTGTCGAGGTACACAGGCTGGGAATGGCGTCCAAATTAGCCTCCTCACCTTTGAATTGAAGGCAGCCACAGTGAACACATCTTCGTAGGAAGACACTTTTCCCCATCACGTAGGGGTGAGGCCAAGGTTCCCTGCAAGCTGCTAAATGTGAGGCACCTGTCTTCTTGCAGGTGCTGGAATCCTCCCCGCAATACAAGCTAGCTTCATTTACGGCATCAAGGGCTTACTGCTATGGGGGGCTCAGGAGCTTATAGACCAGCGGCTTTCACCCGTTTTTCACCATAATCCACAATTTAAAGTAAATTTATATCATAATCTGCTTCTCTTACCAGCACACACACACACACATACACACAAGCACTCACACATGTTTGTGCACATGGGCTGTAGGATATCGCTGAGTGCTTGGACTCTGGAGACAGATGGCCAAGTCCAAGTCCTGCCTCTGCTGACTGTTGGCTGCATAACCTGGGACAAGTTACTTAGACTCTCGGTGCCTCAGTTTTCTTAGTTGAAAAATAGGGATGACAGTAGTCCATCTACAGCCCTGGCCTCATTATGAAGATTAAATAAAATAATGGATCTGATGTGTTCAGACTGCTGCCTGGCACCCAGCAAATGTGTTACAGTGAATAAATGTACCTGAATCAAAAGGTCCTCAAAGCAGTGCTCACCTGGCCATGTGAGTGCACTCTGAAATCTTGTTGTCCACAATTTTAAAATGCTAGTCATGACCTACAAAGTTGCTTCCACAACCTACTTATGACACACAGTTAGAAAAAAAAAATCACAAACCTAAGCCAAGTCTTCTTTCATAAACAGGGAAACTGAACCCCAAAGAGAGGAAGCCTCTCGCCAGAGGTCACCAAGCTACCCAATTGGGGCTGGCTCCTACTCCCCTCCTGTCCTCAACCCTTCGCTGTCCTGCCTTGCCTGGCCTGCCCTGCTTTTTGGCAGCTGGACAGTTGCTAATGACCTCTTCCCCTCATTGCCCACCAACCCCAACCTGCCTCCAATTACACTGGTGATGGTCAGTAACAGGTTTCTCATTTCAAAGCTCAGCCCGGCCATTTCTCGGAAGATCAGAGTTGAGGAGCGTTACCCTCTGTCCAGCCTCCTTCCCTTTGAAGTCTCTGACATCTGGTTTCAATTTAGGGGGAGCGTTGCTGTTTGATGGGCAGTTACCTTGGAGCGCCCAGTGCAAACGCAGTCCACACAGCCTAAACATGGAGGCCTCTGTGCTGCTGCCTCTTCACTTCCACGATCTCGCCCTGCCCTCGCCCTGCCTGGCCAGGCCCCTGTGCCCCTGGATTTAACATTACTGACATCCATCCTCTGGCCCATTTGGCTACCAGAAACTGTTCTCCATAGGTCATGGGGCTTTGTTTGCTTTTCAAATTTCCATTCATTTCTGCAACTCACCCTTGGTTCACTTCTTCATTCCCAACCAAAGGATAACAGGAAAAATAATGGGCCGGTTTGAGATGCTGCGGCTAAATAATTTGACAGGGCTGCTTCACCTGGTGGTTGGTTTGTTTGTGTTTCAAATGATTACGTCTTGCCTTGCCGCCCGTAGTTTGCTTTACAGTTGAGTTTCTATGTCACAGTGACAAATTTGAACTTACAAATTAGGACGCTTCGAGGTTATTTGCTATTTACTGTGAGCAAGAGGCAGACACAGCAAAGGGAAGTATGAAAGGTTATGTGCGTAGTATTTAATAGCAGAAAGGTGGGAAGTCGACCGTGAAAAAGCTATTCAGCGTATTTAGCAATTTCCTCCAGCTCCTGGCTTTATTAAATGGTATCCTGAAGGGTGCCTGACAAAGGCCCCTAATCATATATACAATGGTGCCAAGGAGCTCTATAGAAATGGGGGGAACAATGCACCAGCTTCTAGGGGGCGTTCTGTTGGAGGACGGTCTTGAGATGAAGACACACCCAAAACACATGGACTTGAACACCTTTCCAGAACCCCTTTCACCCCACCCAGGACCTGACTCATAGCTCCATTCATTTCCTAAATGGTTGCTGAATGGATGACTGGTGTGAACAAATACGCCAGTGAAGGGGTGAATGAATCACCGGGAACTAAGGTGGAAACACTGCCTGCAGCCAGGTTCGGCCTCACCAAGGTTTATGACAAGCTACTCATGATGACGATTTGAATAAGTTGCCAACATTCATGAGTCTGGAGATTTCACCTAGGGATTTTTGCTCTGGGGCAGGGGTGGGGAGGGGGGGAATTTAAAAGATGTGGCCACAATGGGCCATCTACCTACTAGGCCCCAAACTTCTGGACCCAGTCACGGTAGCCTCCCTTAACCCAGGTATGCAAGATCCCAATCGCCACCACCTCCTCCACATCTTCCCCTCTCCCCAACCCCCAGTCTGCTTCCCGGCTCGTCAGAGCTGACTGGATCCAGGAAACCTTTGAATTTGCCACACCCTGACCTGAAGGCACAGCCCCAAATTACTCTCACCAAGTAGAGTCTGAACTCATTTATTTCCATATTCCTGTTCATCCAGTTTAGTGCATACACCAACCACAGCCTGGCTCAGACCTGCCAGCATCACGCACTACCCACCTCCACATTGGCCCCTTCTGTGCTGGCCACCAGGCCTCTACTTTGGAGTGAAGATCCTGAGTTCGTGTCTGTAGCCATTCTTATTCAACTTAGGCCACGCTCCTGACATCACGGCAGCACACAGAGCTGCCTTCGGGGGTTTGTGCATGTGAGTGCATCTTGGCTTTCCTTCTCTAAAAGCCCCACGTTTACAGAGGAAACTGCATCTTTGGCCGCTCCCTCCCGCTGGGTTGCAGTGCAGATTCCCGCAACACCCCCTTCTCTTTTTTTGCCTTCACACAGACTCAAAGCCCACAGTAGAGACGCTGGGACCCACCGTGAAGAGCGAGGAGACAACCACCCCGTACCCCATTGATGAGGAGACCACGGAGTGTGGGGAAAACTGCAGCTTTGAGGATGGTGAGGACTGGTGTGGGGATATATGAGATCTAGGGTGGCCTGTGGCTTGGCAGCCACCTGGGGATCTCTCAGGTCAAAGATCTAGGACATCTTAAGGAGAGGTCAGGAAGTGCAGGTACTCAGGGGCTTGCAGCAGCGGCAATTTACAACCAATCTAGAAACATTCAGATACTACTACTGTAACAACCAGGTGTCAACCCACGGTCCTCACTGAGCTGAGGATGCCTCCAAAGAGAAGTCCTTTGAGAGGCCTCTTTGTTATGCCTTCACTGCTATGCTTCTCCTGCTAAAGCAGTGGTCCTCAACCTCCCTAATGCTGCGGCCCTTTAATACAGCTCCTATGAGTCGCCACCCACAGGCTGAGAACCACTGTGCTAAAAGGAAGCCGTACACATCCTTATCATTCACAGCTTTGACAGTTTTCCCTGACAAGCTGTGTCTCTATGCTAAAGCCAAGCAACGACCTGGTGGTCATCAGGGTGCTTTGGCCCACAGAATATGATAGCTGTGTTAATTCATCAGTTAACCATGACCTAATTTCCCTGTGTCTTTCACCACTGCTGATGTGAGGAAGTGTGACAGTGATAATTCTGTAAGTTAGCAGGCACGTTGCACCCTCCATGACTTGAGAGCAGGCCAGAGACAAAGGTGCAAGTGGAAAAAGGCGTCCTCACCCATTCTCCATCGTGCCTGGATCCGTCTCACCACTCGGGAAATCTGTTTCCTTTCTGCTTCATCTTAGGAACATATCCAAGTTAGGTAAAAACAAAAGCTGGCAGAGCCCAGAAGTAAGTCATATTTTAAATCATATACTGCTAAGGTCACCAAGTATGGGGGCATTCCTAATAAACCACAAATTTGGGAACACCTGGCACTTTGGGCTAGAATTTTAACCTTGACAGTGTCAATTTACAGTAAATTACTGATCATTATTAAGTGTTCATTAAACAAAATGAGAGAAGATTGGCAAAGAGACTTGATATAAAGATATAGGGAGAGGGCGACATTACTCGCTGTTAGACAGTATGAGGAACGGCCCTGATCAAGTGGAGGACTCCAAAAAGTGGCTACAAAGAAGAATGGGAGGAAAGCCAAAAATAAATGCTGAAGTTGCATGACTGAAAAATGATAATTTAATGCATATGCTTCTGGGAATGTGCTTTTGTATATGGTGTGGGTGGGGGACACTGTTGGTCAGGGTTAGTTGAATACAGAATTCTGACATTTTAATGAACTTGTTTTTGTTTTATGAAGAGAAGAAAGAGACTTGGAGTATCTTCCAAGACATGTTTAAGATAGTTTGCGAGCCAAAAGTAGAACGCAGAGGGAGTTAATGTACGGTATTGGATTCACAGAGTTACCCTGTTAGGGGATGGGGGTTGGAAAGGGTGCGAGGTTCTACCGAAATGACAGTCCCAAGGAAAAATGAAGGGTTCTGCTGCAAAATTTCAGAAGTTTATTTTTAATATAATTTTCCCATTTAGAGTGGTTTGTTTCATTTGAGGTTTCTTTGATGGTTCCTCCCTTCTCTTTTTGCAAAAGATCTTTTTGTGGAATTTGGTTCCTGAGATATACAGTATGCGTGTAAACATTAGGGAGGAATTATAGTATATTGAATTACTCCGTGTTTTTGAAGGGAAAAATAGAATTTCAGAAATTGTCAGGAGAAAGGGATGGTGAGGGCTACGAGCTGACTTTTCCAAGCCACGGGGTTGGAGTTTCTGTAATAGATTCCATGTGTTTCTCCTCGACTTGAGCTGACTGTGGCCAATAGTGGGCAAAGCTAAATAGCCTCTCCTGGGAAGGGGAAGCACAAGCAGGTGGCAATCCGCAGTGCCCTGTCCCCTAGAGGGGAGCCCTCCTCACCCCCATGGTGAGCAATTTGTTTCTACCCGTCTGTTGTTCCTTTCAGACTTCCTAACCTGCATGCTCAGCCTTCCCCACGGAAATTCCTCTCCGGGAACCTGGGAAGGGAAACGAGAGGGCCAGAGACCCCACTTCCTCCCTGCTGCCAGCGTTAGCCACCACTTTTCCGCTGTCTCTGCAGCCACTGTGGGCAAACGTCCAAATTTGGATTCCCATTTCCTCTTTCCCCACCTCCACACCGCCCCCACTTAATCACATACTTGGCACTAGTTCACTCTGGATTTTTGAGCTGGGCGGAACCTCAAAAGAAACTCTCTTGGTTCAGTCTTCAGGCTCAGGCAGGTGAGCCACCAAAGCAGACAGGACAAGCCACCGTGGAGCCACTTGTTAGATTTCCCCAGGGAGAGCTTTCTTTGCCTTCCTGGGATCCCAGCCTTCAGGGACTCCACACTATGCGAAATTATTTTTCCTCCTGGTCAGCACTGAGCTGGGTGTCCGGCTGGTCCGGCCTCTTTGTTTTGCTACGAACATGCTAAATTTTCCGCCTAGTGATACCTCCCCATGGAGAGGCCAAACCGTCCCAGTCTTCAGAAATAAGAGACGGATCACAAAGAGGTGAAGAGTAGCAAACAAGCCTTCCTTGTTTCTGAGGTCACTTTCTCCTCACTGGCCAGAACCTCCCAGGCATTTCAGCCTTTCTGGATGCTAACAGGCTGCCCAGCACTTCTGAGAGCCAGGTTGGCAGGAGATGAGATAATACTCTTTTTGGGAGCCAGCCTTCCACTGGGGCACTAGGGAGACATTCTTCTCTGGCTTTTAGGGGACAGCAATTTTCACATTTGTCTGCTCTCTGAGGTGGACAGAAGAGGCTGATTAGAGCCTGAAGCTGTTTGGTGGCCTCATTTATAATTGCTTACTATGGGAACCACTGGCAGACTTGGCTTTCGTGCCTGGGAAGGATGAGACCAAAGTCTGACCCGACAGCCAGCCATCGCCAAGATGAGTTAAATGAATAAGCAAAGGGAGCCACTTCTTTCTCAGCACTCCACTTAGGCCTTGCCAGCCATTTAAATAGCACCACTGTGGCTGTTCTCTGAACCCATTTCATTTGCCTTCCTTTGGATTCTTCCCCCCTCCCCTCCTTTTAGACAAAGATTTGCAGCTCCCTTCAGGATTCAACTGCAACTTTGATTTCCCGGAAGAGTCCTGTGGTTGGATGTATGACCATGCCAAGTGGCTCCGGAGCACCTGGACCAGCAGCTCCAGCCCAAATGACCGCACATTCCCAGGTAAGCCAGCTGTGAGTTAAGAGACGAAAGAGTTAAGACTAGCCTGCTCCTCGCTTCTCAGCCCCATTCCCTGCAAGCTTCACAGCCCACCACAGAGCGCTTCTCTGCTCCTTGCCCACAAACCACCACAGTCTTTGCTTAAGACGTCACCTGGCAGAATAGCCGGTTGGTGGTTCCCAGCCCTCTCTTGTAATTACAGCACAGCCTGGAAGCTGGGAGGGAGGAAGGGAGGCCAAGATGAAAGCAAGACAGAAGGAGCAACTAGGAAGTCCTAGGAGCTAGCTAGGAGCTAGGACAAGGCAACCTCCTCTTGGTCTCAGAGCTAGCATTGGCTGCCACCATCACAGAGCCTGTTGTCAATGTTGAGCTCATTGGGAAACCACTGGCCTTCAGTCTGACTGGTACTTCCCTGAGGATGTCATTGATTCTGTAGCAAACCAAGTAGAGGGATTGAGATGCTGTCCAGCAGAGCTGCCCGGCACTTGGCCTCTGGAAGAACATTGTTGCCAGTCCTTGAAATGTTGTTAAGCCCACCCTTTTAGTTTCAGAAAGGCAGATTTCAGAAGCCTCTCCTGGATGCATGGGCAGAGAGAGCTTGCCTTTGGCCCTTCTAAATGGGTAGAAGCAAGAGTTGCCGACTATCTCCACTGACACATGTTTTAACGGTGGCGTTCTGGTAAATGTTTATCAACAGGCTTTCCAGGGATTGAAACAAACAAACTAAACCCTGCTTTGCAAGGTTGGCCATTTGGGGTGGTGCAGATACTCTCGCTATGGTTCAGTTTAAGCGACCCACACAACACCATTGGAGGTGGGGTTGAGCAGTGTGGTACGGCAGAAACATGTGACCTCAGGAGCAGACTGGTAAAATAAGATAACTGAGTTTTGAGTATTTGTTACCTTTGGTTTTCTGTATAATTTATTTAATTGTGACTTTATATAATTTAATTTTTAATAATGATTACCTTAGAACTCCAGAAGCCTTGGAGAGGAAAGGGGTTAATTCTGGAAATTTCATAGAGCAAACATTGCCATTGAATGGGCAATGGGAAAAGGCTAGAAAGTAACAAGGGGAAGGGACCCCCCCTCTGCAGACTTCCTCAGGGCCCCTCCCTACTCCTCCTCAGGACTGGCTAGGGCCCCTGTCCCCAGGGGTGGCTGTGGGACAGAGGCTAAGAGAGCACTTCGGGTGGTCTCCTGACACAGCCTGCACTGGCTTTCCTGGAGGGTCACAGCGTCTGCTCTGGAGAAAAACATTTTCATATTTCAAGTGTTTATCTCTTCAGCATTTGAGTGCTCAGAGAGATTAATATCTGAAGATCACCACGGCCTCGGGCAACAGGAGAGAACACTTACCCCAGTCCCAGCCTTAATCACCCTCCCCCCTCTCGTTCACTGCAATAATGTTTAATTAATATAATGAGCCTCCTGCACGTTGGGAAAAAAAAATACTTATTTTTATAACCCAGGCTGGATTTTTCATTTCATTTCCTCTCCTTTGAGACTGGGTCCAATTAATTCATGGCTTTTCCCAACCCCCACCTTTTATCTGAATGTAAAGGAGGTTTGTGGGGTCTGTGTACGGGTGTGTACACAGAGTGTGTACGTGTGTGTCTGTGGTTTCTGTGTGAGGGTGTGCGTGTCTGTAAGGTGTGTGTGTGAGGGGGCTGCTTGCCAGAGGCACTTTGAATGAGGGCTGCAGCCTGAGCCCTCACAGCGGGGCAGATTAGCTGGCCATTTTCAGGTTCATTCTAATAATTCTGGCCTCCTCCCTTGCACCGTTCTAAGCAGGTTTTCTCTAGGAGCATCTGAAGCCAGCCCTGCCCGGGCTCAGAGGCCACCACTTAGCAAGTGGCAGTTCTGGGAGAGCTTACATTACCTCCCTTCAGCCCCGGCCTGGGCCTCTGTCCCTTCGCCAGCTCACCCCTGCCGCCCTCCTCACCCAGTCCTGACCTTCACCTGAGCGCCCCAACAGTCCACCCTGGCTACTGGCTGAAATTCTAGTCCTCGTCCTCCTTCCAGTTGACTCATTACACCCTGTGGTCTGGGAGGGCTTTTCAGAGCAAGCCCACAGAACAGGCAGAATTCCAAACTTGGGCTGAATGGATGGGAACACAGAAAGAATCAGGGCCATCAGGAACTGCGAGAGCTAATGTGCTCCCTCCCTTAAGATACCGAGAAGGAAAATAATTATTTTCCTTTGCAGAAGAATCCCTGAAGTTTGGGAAAGTGGCACTTGTAACCTGCCTCCGGGAAACGGAATCCTAACATTGTTCTCGGAGCCCTTTCACTATCCCCTGATGATTTCAGAAACCGTGTTCTGTGTGTCCCATTTTCTTTCTCACAAAACTTGATATGAGGCTTTAAGAAGAAGATAGAAAGCCCCTCTGTTTAGGGTGGTCTTTCTTTTTCTCAAAAAAAGAAAAAAATGGGGCCCTGAGGGGAGCAGCTGGGAGAAAGGAGCAGCTGTGCTTGGCGGGGGGCAGGGCAGAGGCTCACGGGGGCGCTGGGCCTGGGTCAAACCCTGCCACTCCACAGAGAGGACGCCACTCCGCCTTCCACAAGGAGCACGCCACGTGCTTTATGCCCTTATGACACAGGTAAACAAAAGTGGTTAAGAAAGGAGTTGTCTCCATGGAGTGCGTCGGGAGTAGGGATAGAGGGAAGGATGGAAAGGAGAGAGGAAATGTCCGTGTGGAAAACCCGACACAGCCCATCTGAAGAGAAGTGTCTGTGGAAACTACTTACATTCTTTAGATGTTTTCTGCTTTGGGTGTTTTCTCATGTTTTCTTTCTTTCTTTACTTTTTTTCCTTTTCCTTTTAAGTAAGCAATTCGTTCTGCCCTTTTGGCGAGTGGTAATGGTTGCTTAAGGCTGACAAGACACCCACTGGTTTATTGCACTGTTTTTGTTTTTCAAGATAGTCCTTCAAGGCGCTCAATATCTTTTTTTAGCTTTTTGCTTTTGTGGCTTAGCTGCCTGGAGTGTGTACACACCAGCCCCTGGGGACCCCATTCCAAATTCACTGACCCCTGGTGGTTGTGTAGGGACATTTTTCAGTATGCTCTGAGAAGCCATTTTGCCTTTTCTCTGCAGCAATAATGACATAGAAAGTGTCACCCTTGGTGGGAGCTGGCACGCTTTCTGCAGACATTCTCAGGTACTTTGATTATAAACAATTTTGAGGACCATTAGAGTCCAATCTTTAAGCACCAAGGCAAAAACTTCCCCAGATGATGTGACGTGCGACCAACGGCAGCAAACAGTCCAGACATCAGATTGTTGTTCAACTGACTTGTCTTCAGAAAGAGGGCATGTGACTCAGGGGCTCAGCCTGGGGCTCAGCCACTGCAAATACAGAGATTGGGCTTCTCGGACTCTGCACTCTGATGGATGATTAAAAGCCAGGAAGAGCTTGGCTAAAAGAAAGCCAATAGTTAAGGAATAATTTCAACTGGAAAAGGAGAGGATAGAGGCCTTTCTTTAAAGCAGGTGGGAAAACATCTCTGGTTGTGTAGAAAAGACAGTAATAGTGAAAGGCTCTCACCCTTTTTATTTTGGCAAGTCATGATTGAGTTCCCCAGCGATGTGTGCATATTGACAATGAAGGGGCAGAATGACAAGACTTCCTCAATAGCAATACCTTCATGAGAGCCGCTGCACCAGAAATCAACCCTAGGTAGACTCCTGCAAAGATCAGACACCAACCTCAAATGTCCACAAAATAGGCTGTTGTGAACCCCGAGTACATCCTGCTGAGTTCATCCAGAGTCAACATTTCCCTTAACTGGTTGTTAATTTGAGGACCTTAGCAGAGATAGACTGACCTTGGAAGGCCAGCTGAGGGCTGACTCATGTTTTAAGCATGACTATACAAAGAGACTCCATCTCCTGCAGCACTAAATATTCTTTCAGATGGTTGTTCTAGTAGGAGGGCAAGATGCTAGCCAGGAGATGTGTGCGTTGGACAGATGGCGGGTTTGGCTTCACGATAGCCAGCAGGATCAAGCTGGTGATTTATTTCAGGGTTTGTTAAGGTGTAGACACAACTGATTCCATTGCCGTTGGGCCAGCTGCAGCCACGTGTCCACCTGACACGCAGCTGAAGCCAGATGCAGCCGTAAATTGCCAGGTGAAGTATCAAGAGACCCTTGCTAGAGACAGCAGCAGGTTAAAATGCTGAACAAGCCTGTCCTGTGCACTTCCTCTTTACCCTTTTGAACTCCTGTTGTTCATTCCCATGCGATTGTTTTCCCCGTATCATTGGCAACAACAGATGTTTTGAGTCAAGGACCCAGCAAAGTGCCTCTCAAATATGTCAGGTCTAGGAGGAGAGGGATTGTATCTCTGGGACATTATTTCTTCATTCTCTTTCAGCGACTGAACATATTTCCTTTCCATTGTCTTTTTGTTGGAAGCTGTCCATTGCCGGCATCACCACCATCAGCTAGGAACAAGAAGGCAGCTTCCAGCAGGCAGGGCTGGTTCTTAGCCAATCAGTTGTCATTTTCAAGCCATCTCTTGACAATCCAAAGGGCTCTTCCTTAAGGTCCAAGTAAATCAATAAAGTAGACCCTCTCCCATCATGCCAACCCTTTTCCCTATCAAGTAACCAACAGCCGAGGGATATGAGAACTCCTTCCCTGTTTGACATTGGTGGCCCGTAAAGTCCAGGAGATTCCTGAAGAGCAAACTTCAGCTATAGCATGTGTTTGATCTCAATGTGCCTCTGTGCCATGACTTAAAAGAGCCAAAGCATTTAACTTAGAAGAGGGGTCAGCAGAAACTCACCCCTGGAGCAAATACCCTGGAAAGTAGACATTTAAAGGGGCAAGGGTTGCGTTTCCTGGGGAAGCAAAGACTAAGGGTCTTCACAAGTTAAAATGTCTCTAAGTCAGAGGACAGAAACTGGCTGTGCTCCATTAAAGACAGGAGGAAAAAATGTACCTAAACAACAGAAGGAAAACTTAACATTGAATTTAAGAAGTTCCTGACGGTTAGGGTTGTGGCCTAGAAACCCAGGTTGACCTGGCCTATGGAAACTCCTCTGGAGAATTTAAAGCAAAGGGCAGACAGCCATTCTCAGAGATATGTTGGCCCAGTTCCTCTGGGAGGCAGGACTGGTCTGCTCTATGTGATCCCTTGATGTCCCACTCTTGTTCTAGGATCCTGCAGCATTTTATTTCATTTACTGGTGGATGAACACCCAAGACACAGCAAACAGTGCACGTTGGAAGACTTTGGGCCACCTGGTGTCCAGGGTTAGGGCAGAAGTGGGGAGCCAGTCTTATTCCAGTATCCTTCTGTCCTCAGGCCAAACAACACTTATTTCTGAGGCTTGGATCGGCCTTCCCAGGTTATTACACTTTTCCTTCCAAATACAATACAGGCAAGTGTGAGTGGCAGTGTGTGTAGTGACAGCAGTAGCAATAAGAACTTTTAGTGAGCTCTTACGGTGTCCCTGCTACTGTGCAAAGCACTTTACCTGGCCACTCCATTTCATCTTCCCCACGACCCTATGCAGTAGTGCTGTTATTATCTCCATTTTACAGATGGGAAGGCTGAGGTTTTAAAGGGTTAGTAGTGAGCATTCACCTGGGGCTCCAACCTGGATAAGAGGTCCGATTAGGGTTCAAATCCCACTTTTGTCATTCTCTAGCAGTGGTCTGGGACACATGACTTCAATTCTCTGAGCCTCAGTTTCCTTTTTGGTAAAAATGGAGGAAATACTACTTATTTCACAGAGAAGATGTTGTCAGATGGAGTAGCCAGAGCCCCCAGTACAATGTCTACCCCTGCCTTTCACTCGCCACTGCCTTGGGCTTCTCCTGGTCTGAGTCATTCCTTCATGATGTCCCTGGTTCTAATCAAGCCTCTCTCAGTGACAGGCGTTTTGCAGCTCAGCATCTCTCTGACTGATGTCTACTGCTAATTCCTTAAATTTACATATCATCTTTCTTCCCTGGAGCTCATAGCACTTAACAGACAAGTGTGGCACAAATGATTTAACTAAGTGAAATCCAGAGGCCTGCTTGTCTGGAGACTCCGTACACGGGTGGATTAGCTCAGATGTCAGCACTGAATTATGATCCTTCAGCTGCTCGTGCTTAGCACGCCACTAGCATTAACTCCCCGGTCTTGCAGTGGCCCTTTAAATCATGCGTGGTGATTATCATCTGATTGTGAGAGGGAAGGGGGTGGGGAGGAGGGGCCCCACCTAGGGGTGCTGGAAGGGGCAGTCCCTGAAACCCCTGGCCTCATCATGTCTGGAGTTTTAGGAACTGGACAGGTAAATAGATCAAACCCAGACAAAATCCAGTCAGCCAGTTCTTCACACCTCCATACACGTTTACCTTACCAAATTCTAACCACAATTCCACGATGTCCTTGCCGCTTAAGAATGTAAATTCACACAAGTGACAGTATCTCTGCCAAGCAATTTTCAGACAGCAAGTGGGTCTTATTTGTGAAACTGTGAAGGAAGAAGGCTGAATAATAAGTCTCTGAAATCTTGTTTCCTTTATAAATGAGGTGGAAACAGAGCTGGGAAAATACCAGGACTGCGGGAGCATTTGAGGGGTTCTCACTAGTGTCTCTCCAGCCAGGTGCTTCCACGGTCATGGGGATCACTACCTCGCTTTACCTTTGAAAGGGCTGTTGGCTCAGGAGAGTAGAGGGAATTATGAAGGGAGTATTTAAATCTGAGGGGTTCCCTACCAGAGGCTAACTTGGTCTCCCTCTGTCCTCATTTCTATTGGATAGCCTCATATCATCCTCCATCTCTGCTTGTCATTCATTCATTCATTCACAGAAACCAAATCTTCTGGAGGAGTGGTATTATATGGTACTACCTAGGTCTAGGGGAATACAAAGTATTAACCCTTATATGTTTAAGGCCAGAGTGACAAGAAAGACACAAGAAACAGTTAAATTATGATGCCAGCCTGTGGGAGGTTATTTGTTAAAATCCATGGAAAATGACCTGAAAAAATAAGGAAAATCAGTGGTACGGTCAATAAATGCGAGAGGTATTGAGAGAAGAAGAGAATTAATGTTGTGTGTGCCAGAACGGTCAGAAGAATTAGCAAAAAGAAATGGCACAGGTTGGGGAGGGCACAGCAGGGAATTACAGGTAAGAGGAGGAAAGGCAGCAGTGGGCCCAGCGGGGAAGCCAGTTCCCCTCAAACGGAGCATGATTGATTGCAAGGACTTGGGGCAAGGGACCTGCCGAGCAGCTGAAATAAAGAGCTTATAACACAAAGCTGGAAAACCCACAGCCAAGCCTGGGCTCTACCAGTTAAGGAGCCTGTCTACCTTGGACAAATCACTTTAACCTTTCTGAGACTCAGTTTCTCCATCACCTGCAAAGCGAGTTTAGTAAGTCCTAGCTCACACGCATTTAGCAAGGATGAGATGAAATAATGCCTGTGAATGTGCTTGTAACCTGTGAGGCATTATGCAAATGAGTTATAATTATTATCATTAATAGTGGTGATAATAAGATCTGATACGGGAAGCATAGGTTTCGAGATCGTTGTGGGTCTGGTTTGGCATGAGGGTCTCCTCCCTCAGCAGAGCACCACCATTAAAATTCCCTTCTGTACGTCGATGCCTGTTACCTATCTGCACTGACTTTGGCCTCACAGAGGTCACACACTATGGGGTATGTAGACAGACGGAGCTCTGGGTGGTTGAGGAGGCACAAACTGGAACCTCGCCACGTGCATCCTGCACTGGTCACGTCTGACTTCAGGGAAAGGCAGCTTCTTAACCAATAATCCCAGAGGGTCTACAGGAAGGAGCTCAGGGGAACCAGGGAGGTGGGCAAGGCAGCTGGCCAGCTGGGGAGGAAGAAGGTGTTTCCAGGCCCCTGATGGGAAGTTTGTCACAGGTTCAGCTCTCACCCAGAAAGATGCTGTCAGCAGGATAACAGCAGCAAACCAGTGGTTCAGGGAGTGTCGTATTGATCTGGGGCTCTGAGTCTGTCCTAGCCTATCCCACACTGACGCGCCCAGGATGTTCACAGTTGCTGCCGAATAGGAACGCTCTGAGCACACGTCTCAGATTAAGGTGGCATCACATTAACACGTTCCTAAGGTGTGTGATGTACCCACATTCCATAGGGGGTACACGATGAAATTATACCACTGCCATTTTGCAGAAGTGTTTGGTGTGAGATATCCCTGTGTTTCAGTGCCAGAAAGAGATAGTGAGATTTGCTCCTCAAATGCCACCTCACCATCTGTGCAAGCAGCCACAGTGGTCCCACACAAGTCGGATCTGCAGGTGTAGATACCTGGACCTATGTCTGCAAGGCCAAAAAGAGATAGTGGGATTGCCTTCTCTAATGCCACCTTGTTCTCTGTACAAGTGAACACAATGGCCCCATACAAGCTAGATTTGCAGGTGTGGATGCCTACACCTGTGTCGTGCAAGGCATGAGAACTTGGTCTTCTGCATAAGTGCCCAATGAATTTACAACCAATCAGCCAAAAGGGCCGTTCTCCAAACATCTGCATTAGTGAGCCCTTAATTTCCTAAAACTTGTGTTTTCTCTGCTAAACATATAGCCTTTGTTAATGATAATGAGGCGCCTTTATCACTGGAGCTAGATGTGCCTTGCTGTCTGAGAAAGGCCCAGGCTCAGGACTCCCCAGAGTGGATAGGGAACAGAATGTAGTGCCAGCCCCCCCAGAATCGCCTTACTCAGCTCCACCTTCACTGTGCTTGAAGTTGACACTGGGCTTCTGAGTCACAGCCACGAGAGACCAGGCATCATCTAGTAGCGCTGATGGAGACACAAGGTTTTAACTTGGATTTGGACAGTGCCCAGCCAAGACTGCTGAGGCTTAAAGCATAAACCAGAGTCACCCTCCAACCTAGCAGTCACCTCGTCCCCTGTAAATGTTGCCTTGTAATTCAGTACATTCAACTGCTTCAGCCCTGTGGGTAAGCCAGTGATGAATAAGGCATGGGTCTGGACTCTTAGAATCTAGGGGGAGAAGACGCACATATGCGACCAGCCAAGACATATGGCAACTGTGCCAGGAGTACTATGGGGAAGAGATAGAAAGGAAGCAACACAGAGAGACAGGCAGGAGGAAACGATTGGACTTGGACACTCGAGAGAGGGCTTCAGGAAGAGACAGAATTTATTCAAGGCTCTGAAGGAAGCTTAAGAAAGGGACACGAAGTCTCAGCGCCTGGAGTTCAATGGTTAGGGTACCAGCCACATGCACTAGGCTGGCGGGTTCAAACCTGGCCCAGGCCAGCTAAACATCCACAACTACAACCAAAAAATAGCCAGGCATTGTGATGGGCGCCTGTAGTTCTGGCTACTTGGGAGGCTGAGGCAAGAGAATCACTTAAGCCCAAGAGTTGGAGGTTGCTGTGAGCTGTGACACTACAGCACTCTACCAACGGTGACATCTCTACCAAGTGAGATTCTATCTCAAAAAAAACCAAAAAAGAAAGGAAGGAAGGAAGGGACACAGAGCCTGGAGAACAGGGACATGAACAAACCAGCGATACCCAAACTCCAGTCCTAAGTTTGCCCTGGAGGGCCCACGGCTGCGAGCCGGTGACTTTCTCAACCATTTACTAAGAACCTCTGTTTGGATTTGTTTCCCCCAGATGACAGGAATTTCTTGCGGCTGCAGAGTGACAGCCGGAGAGAGGGCCAGCATGCGCGGCTCATCAGCCCCCCAGTCCACCTGCCCCGGAGCCCGGTGTGCATGGAGTTCCAGTACCAAGCCACAGGTGGCCGCGGGGTGGCGCTGCAGGTGGTGCGGGAAGCCAGCCAGGAGAGCAAACTCCTCTGGGTCATCCGCGAGGACCAGGGAGGCGAGTGGAAGCACGGGCGCATCATCCTGCCCAGCTACGACCTGGAGTATCAGGTGGGGTGCAGAAGGGAGCTGGGTGCCGAGCTCCAAGGGGATCTTGCGATGGCTATGTCACTGTTTCAGAGGGCCACCCATTCATCATTAGAGGACGTGCTTAAGCGCTGCTGTTTTCATTGTGTTTCTCCCGTTGCCTTGGCAACTAAATGACACTCTTATTTGTTATGCAGAATGTGCCTATCTCTACACCCAGACTTCGTTCTTTGTTCCTCCTATTGCCTTTTATATTGCTGAAATCTCCAACAAATGTTTCTTCTCTCCATTTTATTTTAGATTGCTATCAGGTGGGCTGACAAAGGGACACCAAGCCAGGGAAATAAACATAAACCCTTCACACACAAGGGAAGAGAGAGGCCTGTGGAGCCCCCCAGAACCCAATCCCAATCCCAGGAGGAAATTGAAATAACCTCCCAGACTTGTCCCCTGGAGTGTGAGCCCAGGAAGGGGAGCCCACGCTGTGCGCGCTCAGTGGCTGTGCACGCTCAGTGGCCCGCAGACCTGAGGGCGTCCTAACCGAGTGGTTTAACACTCAACAGCTCTGGGAATTGAGTTCTATTATCTTTGCCTACAGCGCAGGAGGCTGAGGCATGGATGGGTGCGCACAGCTGTGGCTGCAGCTTGTGTAGGAGTAGATACACCGTGGAAGAGGTGACTGAGAACTAGCCATGGCATTAACCTTCTCCTCCTCAGGCGAGCAGCAGCAACAGATGGCTGGTAGGACAGCCAGCTGCTCACCCAGCTTGCCAGAGGACATGTGCTGGTGTGCAGGGAGAGCCTGGGCAGGGTGAGAACAAGGGCAGACTGAAGACCACAGAGCAGAGCACTTCTGCGTGCAGCCTGCGGTCACTGTCCCTTGAGGTTGTAAAGTGTCCTGAGGCCTTCCCCAACCCTGCCTGGGTTCCCACTTTTGAACCTTAATGCATTGTTTTGTAAGTACCTGTCTGCATTTGTGCCTCACCTACTAGGGCTTCCCTGGACAGAGCCTTGTCTTGCTATGTTTCATTACTATCCCTGTGCCCGGCACATAGTAGATGCTCAGTAAACCATTGGTGGAAAAACAAATCCTTTTCCTCATAGTTATAATAATGGAGCCCTAAGACAACTTATAATAAAAATCCGAAAAGCAATGTTATCCACAAGTCTGTCCAAACCTGTGTGCTAAATTTCTCGCATTACCCCACCTGTTCTTGTCCTCTGAGTTTTCAAATACCTCGATTGGGCATTTGAAATATTTATGAGAAAGGAACCTCAAAAATAGCTGGAGAAATTCCATCCCGCCCTTTCAACATGCTCTGATTGTGGTCCTTTTAATCAATATATTCTAGTTATTGGACAACAAGATCCATCACCTTGTTACATTTTCTTATCCCCGCAAATATGCATGTCATTTGAACAAACTCATTTTAAATTAAGATTTCAAGAGCTATAGCCATGTGGTCAACAGATGTGTGCCAGGTGCATAATATACACAAGCACACAGAGTAGCTTCAGTTAATAGAAATTGGAAATCCTTGCAGTGTTTGGACAGGATGCTCAGCTAACCGGAGGCTCTTGTTCTTCCGGTTTCTAGATTGTGTTTGAGGGAATGATAGGGAAAGGACGTACGGGAGAGATTGCCATTGATGACATTCGGATAAGCACTGATGTCCCACTGGAGAACTGCATGGGTAAGTGAATATCTGTCTCTTTCAAATAACACACAAGGGTTGGGCTGTACAAGGGGAGGCCACATGCCATTTTCCAAAACAGGTGGTAGAGCTGCACCAGTCCACACAGGAGGTGAGGTGTGGGTGCAGCTGCACCTGAGGCTGAGTGCAGAGCAGGAGGGGTGAGGTGAGGGGAAGGCTTCTATCCCTGTTTCCAATCAGAAATAGAAGCATACTAACTATGTGGAGATTCAGGGTGCCAAGACCCCATCATCAAACTCCAGCTTTTAGGAGAGAAAATGCTAGAGGACCCGAGCAACTGCCAGTCAGAATTATTGTACGTGCTGGAAAGGTTTGATGGATTTAATGGAAGCTTTCCCTGGTGAGCAAAAATAGTATATGTGTTATATAAGAGTGATAACACAATTACCTGAGTAGTTCTTTTACATGAATGAATTGTGCAGCAAACCACGGCATATGAAAAAAGATTTCAGACTTTAAAACTAATACCTCTAATGCCCAAGATCCCAGAATCGTTGTAGGATTAAACACTGCAGGCCAGGTGACCAGCACAGGAAGACTACCACAACTGTCACCTTGGTCAGAAGTGCTAAGCAGACAGCCCACTTGAGATATACGCATCTACTCAAGGCCTTCTCCTGCAGAGGAGATCACCCTAGGGCATCACAGCCATAGGCAATCCCCACAGCAAGGGGCAATCCAGAAAAAGAGCAGGACCTATTTCAGTCAGCAGAGAGGCTGTGATAACTTGCCAAGTGCTTTTCTTGGCACACAAGTCTGGGGTATGTATGCGCCTGGTGATGTCAGAAGCACCTGGGACTGCCCCAGTCCCTTTGGGCAACTCTCAGGACCCAGGCTTCTAAAGTAATCCCTGCTCTGAGAAAGTAATCAGTGGTAAGTGACTGATTACAATGCTTTGGGGACCCATTACTCTATGAAGGACTTTTTGTTCCAAAGCAACTTTGAGAATCTCCCCCACCTACCTCACCCCTGAGATGATGATGTGTTAGACGCAGTTTAGAACACGTGGAGGACGTGGGGCACTTTCCATGGAGTGTCACAGAAAAAAACCTAATGAAGCCTCCTTCCTCATCATGTGCATCCAGTGATTCACCCTATATTCATCCCATTTTTTCTTCCCTTTATCTAACTGAATTTTTTTCTGTTTTTTTTTTCAGAACCCATCTCAGCTTTTACAGGTGAGAATTTTAAAGGTAAAATATTTTTGTTTTTGTTTTTGCATGCCTTTTCCTTTCCCTGCGTGATGTGAATTTGGTGGTGGGAATATAAACCTCCAAATTTGACAAATTTCACAAGAGAATATAGACACCGCACCTTCCCACCACTAGATGGCACTAGCAACACCTGTAGATGTGGGGAAAGGGATTGAGATCGTCACTGTCTCTTGTTTAATTAAAGTTTAGAAACCTATAATAGAGACAAATAGGTTACAGATAAACCTTTAAGACTTGCATTGTCCAGTGGAGAGCAATGAGGCTGAAAATGCAGGTGTGATGAGAAAGGACAGGCTGTGGGAAGACTGAAGCCCCCTCCAAAAAAAAAAAAAAGTTGTAAATTAAAAGTGAAATGAGATGGCAAAGATTTATTGTAGCCTGAAGATGGTTTCTTTCCAGTTCCAGGGCACCAAGGCAGAAGTCTCAATTAACCCTCGCTGAGGTACAGTGGCAGGAGGGGGGCAACTCTTCCTTATGAGGGAAGAAAGCCAGGGAAGGAACACAGGTGTGATAGTTGGAAGGAGGAAGAGTTGCCAGGTTCAGGAGCTGGTGTCTGGTAAAGGGAGTAAAGAGGTGCACATGATGGCTGGAGTTAGAGCACTTTAAATGCAGGGCTGGAAATCAGAAAAGGATATAACCTCCCTAAGAAAGCATAATAAATAGCAGAACAGAAAGAGAATAATTGGGGATGCTTGTCTCAGTCTCATCTGGGGTTGGGGATCGGGGGAGGCCTTTAACCCTGGGTGGCAGTAATGTTTGTGGTATTATAATACAGTGGGTTTTACTTGTTACCATCATTGCAATCCAGTTAGTTTACACTGCTGAGGGTCCCGCTCAGGTTTCTAAACATTTAGGAGCCACCCTGAATGCCATACTGCAGTTGACCTGCATGAAATATCGCCCTTGGGAAGACTCATCTTCACCTAATGACAAGGGCTGTTCATGACCTAGTTGATGCCAACAGTTGTGAGAGTCTCTGTGCGTTGTCTGTACAGGCTGGGCTTGACCCTGTGGGTGACAGCATTTCAGAGATAAGGACCACCATTTTCATATGTGACGTCTAGACCCGTTATCTTCACTCTCATTAATGTGTCAAGTTCCTGGCTAGAAAAAGATGAATTCCTGGTTCGCCACATAGATGTGCCCCCTGGCTCCAAATCATCTTTCCTAATTTGCCACTTACCACCCACAGCTGTACGACAATCCATGAGGGACCAGGCTGATGATAGGGGAGAATGTCAGCCCTACCTGGAGAGGATTTTCTCTCTTACCTTTCCTTGCCTTCCTGAACCCCATGCCCAGTCCCTATTCTAGCAGTTTAAAGTATTAAGAGTACTCATGCACCCACACTGGTGCTCCCTGGGTGTGAGCTTCATGTTAATGCAAATCCAAAATGTTGGAAGGAAACTGAGCTCCAAGCTGAACCACTTGGATTACAATTGAATTCAAGTTCTAACCTTCAGGACCCCAGGTAATGCTTATGCTGGTGAGGGGAGGCCTGCATATGTTGTGTCACCTGACTCTGTTTGGGTTGTTGAGACTCAAAGCTCCCAGAAAGGCTGGTTAAAGATGCGTTGGCAGCTGCCGCAGGCACCGTTCTGTGTGTGCACCGTGTTGGGTCATGACTGACAGGTACAGTGGCTAAGTGCTTCGCTTCTGTAAGAGAATAAACAGACCAGGGCACGTGTGCGCTCCTTGAAGCCGTGCTCACCATGAGGCTTCACAGTACAGTCATGTTCTCTTGTAAAAAAAAATATATAAATAAAATCTCATTGGAGCAGCAGCGCTCATTTAGCCAAAATAAACACAGGGCTTAGTGACTTGAAGGTAAGAATTTCCAGGGCACTCCCAGTGGGCTGCTTTGGGGGCTTAAGCAAAGGCAGTCAGTGCACGAGTTGTACGGAGTGGGCCGACTGGCCGCCGCGGTTGTCTTGGAAAGTGGCAGGCATCTCTGGAAGGAGGAAACCAAGTCTTAGAGAGCAGAGAGACTTGGCCGAGGAACACTGTCGAGAGAAGATTTGGGAATGGGCAGTTCTTGTATGGCCTTGGCACATTTGACGTGGAGCTCTGAGTTAGCAGCCAGAGACCCCAGTGCTGAGGGTCTCTTCTTTCTGGCTGAGTCCCGACTGACCTCAGCATGCAACTCTGTGTCCTGACTCAAGCAGACCCTTATCTGTGAGAGGATGTATGTTCCACGTAACAAGTGACTCACATTCTGTTCCTCACCAGGGCAGGACAGCAGAAGCCGTCGTTTGGTCAGGGCATAAAATCGGCCTTCCCACGTAAAAAAAAAAAAAAAACCACAAGAAATCTGGTTTGGGCAGGCCAGCTCTGGGAAGTCGGTGCTGAAGCACTGTTAACAATGGGCGTTTGCGCTGTTAGCATGTTTTCTCAAGTGGAGTTATTTTGCTTTTCCTTTGTAAATTGACCACGGAACAGAAGCAATCACATTCTTTAGGAGAGATCAAGGTACCCTGGGCGAATCTTTTAGGGAAATGCAATACAAGTGGCCTTCGGACCTTTATAGGTATTCTTGATCTTTTTTATATTTTGAAGTGTCTTTCATTTTCTGACTCTTAGTGATTTCTTGCCGTGCAACATTTTCTTTTTGTTGAGATCGCCCCGTGTGTTCTGCTTAGTATTATATACTTAGGTTGTGTACCGGGGTGTGAGGCAAGGATGGGAAGCCATGCGGGAAAGGAGAACTGGAGAAGGGGACAGAAGAGAGAATGAATAAACTGTGTTGTCCTGTGACTTTTAAAAGGACCTCTTCTTGTTGTTACTATGAGTCACATTTTAAACAACGTAGCCTGGGTGCTCATCTCTTTTCTTTTCTTTCTTAAAGCAGTGGCTATAAACATGGTGCCGTCAAGTATCTTTTTCTAGGATTTGAACTTTAACAAATGAATAACTGTGTGGGGGGGGGTGGAAGGGAAGAACCGAAAAGAGGTATAATTAAGGGGATGAATTATTTCCTCTTACTCAATACTTTCATTTTTCAATAAAAGGAAAAGGAATAATAAAGAAGCCAGTAAAAATATATATAAAGCCCATAATCACAGTGCTGTAGTTTGTTGACCAGGTGGTTATTTTTCCAGTGGCTCGCTGTGAAGGCTGGAGTTTTTGTTCATGTCAGGGGCTGTGGGCTTTGAGCAAAGCAGGGGCAGACAGCCTAGGTCTGCTGGCCTACCTGTTAGAAGCCCTGTTAATCCCAGGCAGGTGCACTGTGGGAGATGGTGGTGAGAAGGAAGGACTACACTGCCTCACACTAATGGCTGCTAAGAGGAACCTCAGTGTCTCCTGTTAAGAGCTATGAACGTGGGTTTTGCATCTCAGACCATTTCAGAGGGCCAGAGACCCCATCGCTTAGGTGTCATTGGTGCCTTTCTGCAGTCCTCTGCAGGTTTCAGGAGGAAGTGAACATCAAAAACTGTCTCTTGGGCACGAAGGGAGCAGTCTTAAGAGAGGCCATTTGGGGCTAGTGCTGTCTGGCATTTGACTCTTTGCCTCAGGCTTTAAGCACCACGTGGTACCACCTGGGCAACCCTGCCCTTCACCACCATCTCTCCTGCCCCACCCACCCTCTGTCGCCCATGTCTCAGAGGAGGGGTTGTCCACTAGTGTCAGGGATCCCATCCCAGGGCACAGGGCCTGGCTGGCCTCAGATTCCCTTCCTCCCGATGCCCTTCCTCCCACGCTGTCTCTGTTCCAAGTGCTTCTGAGACGCAGATGCAGAGAGGGTTAAATGGTGTTCCTGCACATAATCCTCCAGATAGGCAGCTGTGGTGCAAATCCTCCTCCTTGTCCCCGCCCCCAGTGTCTCCAGCTGCCAGACCCAGGCGAGGTGTTACTGAGCAGGGGAGTGTGGAGGTCAGATGTGTGAACGGGGAACTGCTTGGCTGCCATCCTTGCCCTGGGGGACACGGAGGCGTTCTTCGTGAGGTTCTCTCTGCACACTGTCTCTCCCGCCACAGAGGCCTGACACTTCCCTCCCCGCAAGTTTACCATTAATTTCAACAGCTGCCAAAGTCGGTTTATCTAAGGGAGGAAGAAAATGTTTTTCACCCACTTTCTTCTCCAAGCATACAAGAGGACTTCTATGAGGACTTGTCCTCACACAAGTCCTTAAACTAAGAGGACAAGACTTCGTTTAAAGAAAACAGCATTATCACCAAAAAGTTGCAAAGTGTCTGAGACCTCAGCCAGCTAGAGATCTGAGTTCAGAGGTATTTAAGATCGACATGGGAGAGATCCCCACAGTTTCTGCCAACTTTCCAAAAACCTCCCATTGCCCCCCCCACCCCCCACCATCCACTGTTCAATAAGGCAAAAAGAGTCATTTCTCAGGGATGGTCTGTACTTTTATATCCTTTCCCCAAACAAATCAGAGGGCATGACCACATTCTTCTGCTATCTTCTATAAACTTCTCTAGAGGAGTCAACCTTTTTTTCATTTGTTTGTTTAATCTCACAAATTAAATAAGCCTTTATCTGAATACCCCTTCACCAGCACTTCATTTTCTACCTGTGCAAAGAGGGCTGTGTAGACAGGCCAGACCTCAAACAATGAGCCTTTTTCTTTTTCTTCTTCCAAGAGAGAAGACTCACCAACTGGTCTTTCAAAACATTCCCTTTGAAAACCTGAGCAACCCCTTCAGGCCTGGATGGCATTTTGCAAATGGAGCTGTAGGAGGAGATGCTTCCTCTTTTCAGTGATTCAGGGAGAACCTGACTTGACTGAGACACACCAAACCCCAGACAGGTTCAGACCGAGTAGGGGGGAGGCAGAAAGGAAGAGAGCTGCTCCCTGCTCTGTCTCTGTTTGGTTGGAGTAAGGGGTCTGCAAACTTGTTCCATAAAAGGCCCGATAGTAAATATTATAGGCTTTACAGGAACTACAGTCTCTATTGCAAGTACTTAGCTCTGCCATTGTGGCAGAAAAGCAGCCATAGGCAATATGTAAA